GCCTCAACACCCGTCTCACCGTCGACAGTCTCTACTTGTCTCCATCACAGGCAGCAGGCACTCGGCCGATTGGAGTGCCGATAGCACCCCTAGTGTGGCTGGATCCTGGCCAAGTCACCTGCTCTGTCGTGCAAGCCTCAGGAATAAGATGTACAAATAATATCAGTGTGGTTATAGTATTTTTTCCTAGCTATTACATAAAAAAAAGGAAATGTTAAGTCAAACCCTAAATATGTGTTTACTGGATACAGAGGAACACTCCTGAAGTTTTTCATTTGCTTGGATTTTCTGGGAGTGCCAAAACTTCCAGGAGTTCATTCGGTTGCTGGTGACTGGTTGATGGAGGTGAGGTTGCTTCACTACGGACAGCAACCACAAGAAGCTGAATGAACCAAACAGGACTGGGATGAAGAGGACTAAATGGAAATGATCAGAACACAGGGACTGGTACACTGACGAGTGTCGTATTAATCAACCCTTCTTCAGTGTCCACTATTGAGAGTTTGATGAGTTATTGCACATACTGGAGGTAATTTATATTTTAGTGCTTAAACATTGTAATATGACCAAATATTCAGTGGTTGATAAAAAAAACGAAAATGAAATACAAAATACTTTATTAATGTATTAAAGTGTTTTTTCCACATATCTGCACTTTATTTCTACTATTTTTCTGACATTATCCAACCAAATATCCCATACCTTCTACATTTTCAGACTCATTACTTTAGTTTGAATGCATTTGAGGGGAATTATTAATATTATTCATTTTTTGAATGACTGACACACCTTACCAATAAACAAAATCAGTCAGTGCTGGCAAAAACCTGATTGGACGTTAGCATAGGGATGAAGTTTTAAATAGTTGTAAAATGTTTGGACTCAATACAGACAGTAACTGTATTATGAGCTCCCAATAGGTTACTGTATCTGTCTCTCTCTCAGACATTCACACTTTCCAGAGGATCTATGGCTGTGAGGGAAGACCAGGTTTGATACTTCAGATAAGTACGGTTTATGGGATGAAAAGACTTCATGGAGTCAACCTGGAAACACAAACATGGATCCCTTTACCTCACCCACAAGCTCCCTACACCAACCTCAGTGGGGACAGGAGACAAAGAGAGAATAAAAAACATTATCCTTGCATCTACAAATTGTTCTGACTTGGCTGAGAAGTATTGGACTATGCAAACAAAACTTTGCATTGAAACAGTAGAATCCACATGACCTTTACATACTCTATCGACATATGTGTCACATTACAGGTAGAGCCACTGTAGAGCTATAATGTTTCTCGCATTTACACTCTCTCTCTCTCTCTCTCTCCTCTCTCTCTCTCTCTCTCCAGACCTTCCCTCAGTGTCTCTCCTCCAGAAGACTCCCTTGTCTCCAGTCAGCTGCCATGCCACCGGTTTCTACCCTGACAGAGCCGTGATATTTTGGAGCAGAGATGGAGAGGAGCTTCATGAACATGTCGACCACGGTGAGCTCCTCCACAACCATGATGAGACCTTCCAGATAAGCGTGGACCTGGATCTTTCAGTGGTCGAACCTGACGACTGGTGGAGGTACAAGTGTGTTTTTCAGCTCTCCGGTGTTGAGGATGACATCGTCACCAAGCTGGACCCAGCAGTTATCAAGACCAACTGGGGTTAGTAAGGACGAGTAGAAAACCTCGCTTTGTCTGATGTTTAATTCATTTGTTTCTTTTTTGTATTGACTGAACAATTTTAGATACATCAGCATTGCTCACCTCTATGACAAACATATAATGCCAATTCAGAATCAGTAATGAAGAGAGAGTAACTACCTACATGTACTGTATTTCAAGGAATAGTTTGACACTTTGGGTGGCTGTGGCTCAGAGGCAGAGCGTGGTTCCCCCAATCGGAAGGTTGTTATGGGGTTCGATCCCCGGGCTCCTTCTGCCACGTGTTTGAAGTATCCTTGAGGCAAGATACTGAACCCCAAATTGCTCCTGATGCACAGCATCGGTGTGTGAATGTGTATGAATGGACGTTAGTTTCTGTTCGGATGGGACTTTTGCCATCACTGTGTGAAAGGGTGATGTGGTGAGTGGTTCGGAAGACTAGAAAGGCGCTATACAAGTAACAGGGTTCCATTTTTACCATTTACCATTTGGGAAATACTTGCTTTATTCTCCTTCTCTCAGAGTTAGAACATTAACACTCTTGTTGAAGCTACATCTAGCAACTGTTAGCTTAGCTCAAAGCCGGGAAACGGGGAAACAGCTAGCCT